CGGCCTGGACTGGGGTCCCGGTGGGTTCCCCGCTGAGGTGGCTTATCCCTGGCCGGCCGCCTCGTGAGGAGAATCCAGCCCCGAGGGAAAGGTGAGGGCAGCTCGGGTAGCCGCTAAGGAGGTTTTTGCTATTTATATGACTTTCTTGGTAGCCCGGAGAGTGGATCCGGAGGTCCACTGGGAAGCATTCCACCTTCTCAGGGGATGTGGAGAGGCGTCCTAATCTTGTGTTAAATTGTGGCGTTAGTGCGTACATGTCTCTATTTCCTTCTCCTGCACCAAAGACTAATGCACTGAGTAAGCTGGAAACCCAGCAAGTGCCTTGAGCCATGTTATGATAAGAGGATCAATTAGTAGTTAGCAGTAAATGCAGATTACATGAGAAGTCACTGTCCTCAATGTGCATAAGGCAGAGGAAAGCTAATAGTAGAAAATTTCCTAATATTTACTAATAACAACTTGTAGTTCTGCTGGGAGGTTCTGTGGCTAGAAGTAGCTATCGGCTGTTGGGGAATAATAATAATAAATGCAGCCCCCCTAATGTAGGGGCTGGGCTGTTAAGAAACTCACTTCCAGTTGCTGATTTCAACCTACATAGGCTAGAGTTCAAGTGAATCCACCTGGTGTTTGAGCCAGAAAGTGAATGAATTAGAACATTTTCATTGCTCATTTTACCATCTTCAATCAGGCTGCCTAGAGATCTGATATGACCTAATTTGTCCAGGAAAGTGGGAGCAGCTGGAGCCAAATGTATGTAGAGGTCAGCTGGTTTTGTCACAAAAACAAGGTCATTCAGATATACTTGCAGGATATTTTCTTAAAGCTTAAGGTGACTGTGTGTGCAATCTCTTGTTTATATTGTTTTCTGTGTTCTGAAATCTGTAGAAATCTTGAAAACCCATTAAAACTGCTTGTTGGTAGGAAATACGTGCTCTTGAAAGTCTTTTTCTCTTTGGTTTCCAGTGGGCTGATATCTGCACATCTCCTTTGCACGAGTTGCCTTCTTTCTCCTCCCCCCAGGGATCCTGGCTGCAGTGCAGAGGTGGGAGAAAACTCCCATGTAATTGAGCATCCATTGAGATACAGAGAGGATTAGCTAGTTTACGTTTAATCATGCAGAGCAGTACCCTAAAGGCTGATTCTTCCTAAGTGGGATACTTCTGTATCTTCCCTCTAGGCAACCTGAGGAGGAGATGCAAAGAAACTGCAAAGGTCCCTTGATTCAGTCTCTAAAGTGGTGGGAATGCACTGAGGCAGTTGGAGGCAGCATAGAGCTGTTTCACCTTCATCCTCGCGCTGGGGAAAGATACAGTCCATAACGCAAGGATGCTCACAAGACTTTCAGAAGCCACTCAGGTAAGTGAAAGTGGATAGAATTAAGAATTACATGTTGATGCTCTGGAGGTTTTTGTCTGTGAACTTTGTGTTGAAATGTGTCTTGATGCCTCTGCAGCCCAAAGAGGCATTTAAAACAAGGGGAAAAATGCTCTAAAAGGAAAAGGTTTTGTCTAAGCAAAGATGGTCCTATTCTTTCTCCACCCTCGGGAATCCCAGGTCACTCTGAGAGACAGTTTTCCCTGGCTGTATCCACAGCCGTTCTTTCTGTGTTGGCCATGCACATAAAAAGCCCTTAAGAAAGGAGCAAAATTTATAGTGACTCATTTGCATCTGATGGACCCAGGGCTCAGTGCTGCTGGTAACTCGATCAGCACTATTCAAATGCTAATCTCATTATGTGTTAGAGCCCGAAGCGCATCGAGCTCCATTAGTGCCCTGTTCCTGGGTGATGTTCTGGCTGGTGTGCAAGGCTGTTGCACCCCCTGCGGATAGCCAGCACATGCCACATAGCACCAGGAAGATGCATGAAGGAAGGCAGAAGCAGAGATTGGGAACTCAGTTGTGGAGCCAATGAAATGAGCAAACATGGGAAGAGGAGCTAGATACATTTCTAGAAAATGCTCAGGAAAAAAAAAAAGGGTTAATTGCCAGCAGAGCGACTTGGATTAAACATTCTTTTCTACGATAAATATGCCGATCAGTTCCACTGCCTCCAAATGAACACCGTCAGAAAAGCACAGTAAACAAAAAGGTTTGTCCAAAATGCAGATTAAGTTTAAAAGCTTGATTCATGTGTGCTTGTATGAGGGGGGAAAAAAAAAAAAAAAAGACTGTGCTTATGCTATGACATACCTACTTGCCCCATGCAGCAGGGACTGGTGGGCAGCACAGACTATACAAGTGTGCACAGGATTTGTGGATAAAGGGTCCATGACAGAACTTTGTTACCTAAAGCACCTTAAAACCATGCTTGAATGTGTTGCTTTAGTTTGCCAGTCCTGGTGTGGAAAAGGTCTACCTCAAGCTGTTTGCTGCCTCTGCTATGTCAGTGTCGGTGTGTTTCTGTTAGTGGTTCTGCAACATTCTCCTGGATCCTGCATTTGAGAGGTCACAGGAGTTGGAATCCTAAAGAAGCTAGGTTTGTAAGGTGACACAGTATATTTATTAGATAAGCTACTTAGCTGACCAAGCAGATGAGCTCTAGTGCACACAGTCCTAGCATCAGCTGGTTTATTAAATAGCACAACCTGCCTGAAAGGATTGCTTTTTTGATGAACTGTTACAGCTGCAGCAGCCCTATTACTAGAGGTCTGTAGTTCCATGTGGTATCTTCTTGTTTATTTTTTGTACAGTATCTGTTGCCTAATAGCAGTTACAGCGTTTCTGTGAGTCTTGTTCTAATATGTCCTTCTCTGGAATCAGTGCTGCCATGGTTAGCTTCATTGATGATTATAGAGGCCACAAATTGAGAACACATTTGCGTTAAGGTTTATGAATGTTATATATAGCTCTGCTTGCTTGCTGCCTTCCTGGCTTGATGCCCCTGCCAGAGGAAAGCAAAATAAAGCTGTTGCAGAGCAGGGAGGATGACACATTGACTTAGATGTGCAGTCATGATGACTGGGCGTTCACACAGCAATGGCTAGTGGTTCAGTGAAGGGGAGAAGTTATCTACCCAGCTCCATTCAGGCATTTATTCCCAAGGGAAGCCTGGCAGCAAAGGGAGAAAGGGAATTGGGAGTGATTGCTGGGAGGGAGGGCAGAAGTGTGCGCACAGAGATTGTACTCCCAGACTTTCCCCCATGAAGAAATGAAAGAACCCCTTCTTGGCTCCATATGCAAAACTAGGAATGTGTCCAGGTTGCCACTGTTTGAAAGCAACTTGCTTTAGCCTTGCAGTGACAAGCTTGGCAAAACGAA